CCACGCTTAGAAACTACAGGGCAGGACACATCTGTCCAGGGTTACACCTGGAATCCACCCCATGTCACTGTTGCAATGGTGCTGTTCTCTTCCATTTACTAAGCCGTGCACTCAACACAACTTGCTTCCCAAATGAATTATTTAGCTTTCTCTCAGCCGCCGCAATGCACAGCAGGACGCCTGTCAGAGCAAAGCGTCTCTAACGGAGGATTCCTCATGTGATCCGAACGGGAAGATGCATCCAGGCTGATACAGCACCTCAGTGAGAATTCAGCACGAGAAACCGAAGCGCGAAGGCCCACAGCTATGTCCAAAGCAGAGCTCACATCCACCCACATCCTCCCAGGACTGCTCTTGGTTCCTGCCGCTGCAGATGTGTCTGAGCCTGGGTCTTTTGAGGACCTTTTTGGACTAGGAAGAGCAGCCCCCAGAGCCTTGGGTGCTCAGTGAGAGCTGCACCTGCTGCCTTGTGGCTCTCAGTCGGATGCTGACTATATTTTACTGGACTCTGCTCCTAATGCACCAAAACAAACGCAGTGGTTGCACTGACCAGTCGTATTTCTGCTTTTTCAGTGAGACACTGACTTACCCACATGCAGCTGAGCGCAGGATCTGCTCCACACAGAGCTTTAACTGCCGGGCTAGTAGTAAAAATACAGAGTCCCGATCCTCTCATGGTCGAGGGTTCATTTGCTGGAATGAATTAGAAAGAGACAGGAATTGTCAGCGGAAAAGCATCGTAAAAATGGAAATAATAAGACAGGTCTTTCAACTTAAAAATGGAGAATATTTTCTTTGAAGCTTCTAATAATAGTAAACAGCCCCCACCCTGTCCTTCAGATCATATAAAGTAACAGGAAGCCTCTTCCAGATGGAGTAATCACTAATAATTTAAAACATATGTAGAAAGACTTTTTGACATGCTGATACTTATGGTAACAGTCCCTTTGCAGTCAGCTGCTGGAATTTCAGTTCTTACAAAACAGCCATATGCACAAACTGCTTTCCCCGCCCAAAAGCTAGAAATGCCTCTTTAGGAAAAAAATAAATGCCTAAAAAAACAAAACAAAAACAAAAACAAGCACAAGATATTTGTGAAATGTCAAAGATTCTAGAACTGAAACCGAAAGGAAAAAGTCAACAGCATGAGATTCACATTAAAAGTGCTAAGAGGCAGGAACAAGGTCCTACATAAGACTCAGTGGGGAAAAACAGCCTCCAAAACACACACAAAAAGAGCCTGTCCCTTGCAGATGCCTTCAGTTCTCATCAGAGCGTGCGCTGGGGCATTGATTCTCTGGGAAAGGGATTGGAAGTGCTAAAAGGTCCTGAACTGATCAGCTACCAGCCCGCGCCAGTGCCTTATCTGCGGGTTGCTGTGCGAGTGCCCCGGCTCCCGGGGCAGAGTCCAGCAAACAACGTGCAGGATGAACATCCGTGATCCACGTGCGTGTCGGAGCAGACGGCAGCGGGTCTGCGTGCGCCCGGGGACTCCCTCGGCAGCTCCGCACACGAGTTTATTCACTCATGCGGTGAGCGCCCAAGGGCAACGCTCATGCCAGAGCCTTTGGGCAGCCAGCGAGGAGATGGAAATAATGTCAAGTTTTGACTTTTAATCCATGAAATGGCCCGCGAAAACATCAGCCAATATGAAAGGGCAAATGGAGCCCCGGGTGCCGGAGTGGTCAACCCTATCAGCTCTCCGTGCTGACACCGGCCGCTGGGATTTCCTGGGAGTGAAACCAGGAGAACCCAGTGGCGGGATGCTCTGGAGCAACGACAAGAGCCGGAGCATCTCCCATCTGCTGTCCATCCAGCGCTGCTTCCACCACCAACTGTGCCCTGGGCACAGGGCCAGTTCATGCAAGGTTGCCCTTGGTCGCCAAAGCCCTGCCCGACCATTTGCAGTGGCAAAACTGCAAAGGACAAGGTGAGGAGCTCACTGCCTATGAGCCCTGCGAGGGCCCAGCAGTAGCTCCGGAAGGCAGGAAATCCCCCAAACTATTTTTCTATTAAAACATCACGGAGCGCTTGGCTCCAGCCACTGCTTGCTCATGTGAATCAAACTCGTTGCCAGACTTTCTTCTGTATCTTATTACTCAGCTTTTTCAGAGTCTTACAAAGAGCAGGACTTCAGCACCTTGCCACACAGAAACCAAAGGAGGCTTCCACGAAACCAGCAACACCTCCCATCTATCTGCTCCCCAGTCATTAAAAAAAAAAAAACCCAAAACAACAAAATAAAAAAACAATCAGAGAGGTTGTACATGTCAGCCTATACACCCAGGCGTGAGGAGAGCAATGCCAGTGGTAATGGGGCAAGAGAGGCAGGGGAATTGCACCACACCACAATTGCGACCGCGCGGCAATCCTTTTCGGTGAAGGGCAGCGGGATGCGCCTCGCCAAGTCATGCGAGGGAGTGGCTGCGAGATACAAGGCGCTCAGATGAAGATGAAGTTCTGGGTTTGCCAGTTCTCAGCAACAGCTTTGGTGGCGGCGCTGGGCAGCTCATGAGCTGCTCCCAAACGGTGCTCGTGCCCTGCGACTTCTCCTCAGTCCGGGCTCTTTGCAGAGGGCGACCGTGGGGAAGCTCCCGAGGAGACACCAAGTAGCTGCCCATGGGCACGACAGCCCCTGGCTCCCCCCCGTCCAGCTCTACCTTGTTGGCGGTGCCACCAGGCCACACAGCGTCCTCCCGGGCCACCGCGGGGCGAGATGAGAACGTGACACGGCAGTAGGACGGCACGGGCAGTCGGTTCCTTAACAGCCTGGCAATGCCTTCCCCGCCAAGCGGCAGGTTGTTCCAATCAGCTCCTCCGAGGCCAGCAGAACAAACGTTGCCTTTATTCCAGATCCTGGAAAGCAAGCCAAGAAGGATGAACGCAAGGCAAAGCAGCTAGCCAAAGGGCCAAGTCCTTTAATTATTCAGAAATGAGAAAGAAAACAAAGACATAATAATAACCAGTCTCCTCACAAGAACCCCTGCTTTGGCTCAGAGGACTGACTGGCCTGATTCTGTGTCCAGCAAATTTATTTTTATTCAATAAATAAGGTGGCTCTTTCTATAGCAGAGGAAAAGATGACGTGTTGTGGCAAGAGCTCCTTGGGCATCACATAACACTGTACCACTAAACAGAAATAAAAACCTTAGGGCCATTTCTGTTCTCTCCTAGGTCAGAATTATATATATATATATATATGGATGGTTTCAGCATTGGTGAGGGCAGAGGGGAGCGCACCTAGGAGCCAACAAACCCACTGAGATGCCTCCAGATCCCCTTCATGGTGACCTCGTGAGCTCGCCTCGAGTGCTGGCCCTTTCAGTGTGCGACGGTTTCACGTTACTGCCCTGTTTATGGATTCGGTCTCCTCGAATTACTGGAGGAAACTGCCGTGAAACGCTCCCAGTTGAGCGCACACCACCAAAACGTAGCCAAACACCCAAGCACTGACACAATCTTTACATTTCCTCAGCAGCTCTTGATGCCTGGAACGGCACCATGTCCTGTTGGGAAGCGTTTCCCTGGGGACACGCAGCTGTTTATCGAAACCCGACACGCTGCAGGGACACGGTGCACGGGGTCGCTGCCGTGTGCGCACCGGGACAGGCCGCTCGCGCGGCGGGAAAGGCGAGGGATGCCGAGCGTGGCAAGGCGGCCGTGACGAGGGCGGGCAGCTTTACTCAGAGGCAATTCTCGCTGCAATTTTACCTGCAAACGGGTGTCAGAGGCATGGCCGGATTGCACAGCGAGGGCACGCGGGAGCCACTGCTCCTCCCGGCTTTGCATTGCACAACGAAGGAGCTGGGTGGCAATTAGATGCTACCCTTCCGTAATGAGCTGGCTCAATTAGCTCGAGCTGTTACGAATGCCATGGGGAGGGATTCGGAGGGAATCCTTGCCCTTCCTCCAGCGGCCGAGGCCTGAGGGAGACCCAAGAAGGGCCATGGCCTGGGCTGCACGGAGCGACCCGCAGCTGGCCTGGACCCCGGCCTGCTCGTCCCTGTCCCCTCCCTGACCTGCTCGTCCCCATCCCCATCCCCATCCCTGCTTGTCCCCATCCCCTTCCTGATCGCTGTTTGTCCCCATCCCCATCCCGATTCCTGCTCGTCCCCATCCCTTTCCCAATCCCTGCTTGTCCCCATTCCCACCCATCCTGATTCCTGCTCATCCTCATCCCTGCTCATCCCCATCCTCTTCCTGATCCCTGTTCATCTCCAACCTCTTCCTCATTTCCCCTCAACGCCAGGCCTCCTCACACCCATCCCTGCTTGTCCCCATCCTCTTCCCAATCCTTCCTCAACCCCAGCCCTGCTTGCCCCCATCCCCACCCCAATCCTTCCTCGTCCCCATCCTTTTCCCGATCCTTCCTCGAACCCATCCCTCCTCACCCCCATCCCCACCCCAATCTCAGCTCGCCCTCACCCTCTTCCCGATCCTTCCTTGTCCCCATCCTCTTCCCGATCCCTCCTCGGCCCCAGCTCTCATACTCGTCCCCTCCCTGATCCCTGCTGGTGCCCATCCCCTTCCCGATCCTTCCCCGGCCCCGCTCGCCCCCGGCCCCCGCCCGCCCCCTCCTCCATCCCG